ATATATGTGAGTAGTATTTCGAGCCAAAATGAGCCGAACACGAACGAACACATCTTAATTTGTGTTCGGCTCTTTAACTTATCGAACAAAATTAACGAGCCGAACACGAGCTTCTTAACGAGTCGAACACGAGCTGTTCGCGAACGAGTCGTTTTGACAGCCCTAAATACTAATGCTCCTTTGGTAACATTTCAATTTCTATCTAAGAACACCATTGAATGACCACTCTCATTGACTGCCCGACGGAAATGAGATTTTTCTTAAGCTCAGGAACGTGTCTGACCTTATACAAACTTCATTTGCTCTTGTTAGAGAGTGTAATATCAACGTCTCTTATCTCCACCACGTCCAGAGCTTTTCCATCAGCTAGATATACCTTCTCAAAGTTACCTGCAACATAATTTCGCATTAACTAATGGTGGGAAGATGTATGGAAGGAAACCCATGAATTCAGTATCTAGTCATCAATAGAACTGCGAATTGTCAGCAATAATGTATCTTGTATTTCTTCAGTTACCACATTTTTGTCATAATTCTCTTTCCTCTCAGGATTCATGCAGTTCCTTTTTGTCATAATTCTCTTTCCTCTCAGGATTCATGCAATTCCTTTGATTCATGCAGTTCCTTTTTATGTGGTCAACCTTGTCACAATTCCAACAGGTTGTCTGCTGATCAGACTTTGATTTTAATATTCCTCTGTTTAAATTCATGTCTTATGATCTCCATCTAGAATCAATAATCAGTGTCGAACTCGAACTCAATGTCTCACCAGAATCTTTCCTGCGCACCTCCTCAGCCAAAATCAAATCACGAATATCATTGTATTTCAGTTTGGATTTACCTGCAAAACTGCTGACTACCATCCTCATGACTTCCAGCTATTTGGCAATAATGTCAACAATCAACAATATCAACGCACGTATCAAGATCATCAAAATCAATTTCAACAGACGACAATTGAATTATGATAGTATTGAAATCATTAAGGTGTAGATCTCCCACTGCAAAGAGCTTGCGATAAAAGAAAACTTGCACAAGACATACTAAGCACAAGATATCGATAAAAGAAAAGTTGCACGAACCTCAAAGCCAAACAAAGGCTGGAAAGGCTTGCGTGACAGAAAGGTGGAATCAATTCAAGATCCCACAAAGCGAAGAAGATGCTTTTCGGAAATTCAAAACATTATAACCATTTTAAACAGCAGATCTCCCACTGCAAAGAGCCTCCGAGAAAATTAGGGGCAATGGGAAATTAAATGAATAAAGGATAGAATGAGAAACCTGAATCCCGTTTCTTCCACAATTCGTTAGCAATGTCCATACCTTCCGCATTTTGTTTTAATGCCAGTGACGTATAAGTACTGCTCCAGAATATAATATGGTGGATAGCTTTCAGCATCCACTTCAGAGAAGGAACATTGAAGATGGTATTCGAGTTCCATATTATAACAAAAATATAAATATCTTGCTTTTAGTGCTGGGTTATAAAAGCATTTCTTATAAAAAATAGCGGTGCCCTGTTATACCTGGAATAGCTGAAACAGTAAAGCTCTGAAAATTAGATTTCTGGATCTCGGTTAGGATATTGAATTCAACTTGTATAATGCTCCAAAAATAAAGCGTAAGAGGAAAATAGTTGGGACAAAAAACTGGCGAAATGCATTGATTCAAGTATCAAGTTTAAATTAAACAAGGCTGACAATAACAGGAACTTAGACTTGCATCAAGAGCACACTAAGAGAATAAATAGCAGGAGCTTAACAATAGATTGAAGAGACAGCTAAATTGTAGTCAAGCGAGAACTGAAAGCTTAAATACCGTTTATTAAGGGCCGGTTTAGGCATGAATGTTATTCTCTGTTCTTGTTATTGTTTTTTCATTTGTTTAAACACATGTTTGTTTAGTCTATTACTTATGTGGTTTTATTTTATATTTTTAAAACAAACCAGCTTATTTTTAAAAACATTATTATTACGACCAAATATACTTTATTTCAAATTAAACATAAACAATATAAAATAAAAATGAAAAATAAAAAATAAAAAATAAAAGTGATAAAAAATGGCCCCCAAGTAAAAAATAACTTCAAGATTGCTTTAGTATTTGTACTGTAAGAGATAATCATAACAGAAGATTCTAAGACAACAATTTCAGCACGCTATAAAGCAAGGATCCTTTTATATTTCAGAAAAACTAAAGAAAAAAATAGTAAAGCAAGGGTCCCTTTAGGTTATAGCTTATGGTGACTGATATGGCAAGCACTATTTTAAATATAGCAGAAATTCTAAATAATAATGAACAATCATTGAATAATTTAACAATATAAAGAAAAACACATCCATAAAGAAAAACGATGTCATATAAATAGAGCATAAGATTGTATAACTTCAACAGAAACCTCAAAAAAATAAAATCAAAGAATCCTTAAAAAATAAAATCATATTGCTCTTAAGACAAAGAAAGCAATTAGATTGAAAACTTGAACCGCCGTGAAAGTAGAAATATGATACTAGAACAAATAAAAAGGTTGGAACTTAAACTTTTAGGATAATAAATAATTAAAAAAAAATATTTAAAAAGGAATTTTATGCTTAGAACTTAAAAGTGTTTGCAAATCTCATTCAAAAATAAAGCTAATCATCCTTCGAATTATCATCATTATAATTCCAAAATATTTCATCTTATTCATCATAATCGTCCCCAAAGTAATCTTCTTCACCATTTTCATCCTCATCTAACCAAAAAGCCTATCCTCATCACATCACACAATCCGAGCAAAAAAAGTGTAACCATTCAGAACTTGCAGTCTTGCCAATGCACTATAGTGTGCTATTTTGATCATATGTGCAATGCAACAATAATAGCACATGGCATGGAACTCACTGCATTGGCAAAGCAACAGTATGTGTTGTTTAGTACTATTGATAAATATGCAATGACATAACAATTTAGCCATTTTATGTGTTTAAATCTTCGAAACATGAAGGTGCGGTGTCAAATTTGCATTTCAATACTAGCAACTGGTAAGTGGTCCTCTATAATGTTGCTATTCTACTAGCATATGAGCAAGGAATTAAAACCTACTGAATCTCAAAAGAGGTTATCAAAAAGGGAGGCCAGAAGCCGGAAAAAAAAAACCATGGAAACCAGACGTCCTCAGAAGCTTCCAAATAGAATTGAGTTTCTATCTGAATAACAAAGATGAAATATATCAATAATTTGCACAAGCCCAAGCTTGCAGAGACCAATATATGTTATTAACCTCTTTGCATGATTTAAATTGAAATTTCTTTATCTTTTCTTAACATTTCATGCAGCATCTTTTGACAGCTTTCTGAGCATCACTCTCACAGAGAGGCTGTTCGTTTCTATCATGAGAAGTAATGTCAAGAAGTTCTACATTATAATTTAGTCACCAATATATTCATCAAATAGAAGAAAGCATCTACTCATCCAGGATATGATCAGAATCCAGAAAGAAAGAAGAGGCTAAATCAATATCTAACATATTATCAGGTTCCAGAACTCAAATGTTGGGAAGAACAAGGTTGATCAAGGAAGAGAAACCATAATTTCAACAAATGTTCTTATCAATAAAGGCACTGTGGTATTCTCCATTCACATCATCTTGCTCTAACAATTTGCATTATAGCCAAGGAATTGAAGTTTTGATAGCATTGGCAAGATGGGAGATTGGCAAGTTTGCTGAGCCAAATGATTTCAGTCTATAGAAGCTGTAAATGAAGGTTTTGCTTCTCCACCAAGGACTTCATGTGGTATTATGAGATGAGACAATTCAGCCGCAATGCAATGCTTAGCAGGGACCTTGCCAATAAAGCAAAAAATGCCACTCAGTCTTGGATGGAGAAACTTACGGAGGAGCAACAGGCCATTGAAGTTTAGGAAAACTCAAGTCTCCACACTTAAAGAGATCATTTGCCAACCAATGTAACTCGAGAAGAGGTACACCATGCAAATGGATAAATCCAAATCAATCAAGCAGCATTTGAATGACTTTAACAAACTCATGATAAATCTTAAAAAATTGAAATTGTAATCAAGAAGGATCATGGCATAATCCTCATGTTATTTGCCAAAAAGGAATGAATATTATGTAGGTATTATGTTATATGGTAAAATCACTATATTTTCATGGCTGACGTGCAATCAGCCCTCCAATCCAAAGAATTTTTAAAAAATTGAAAAATCAAATAAAAAAAACGTTTGTGATGCCTTTATGGTTCGTGGAAGATGCTTTCAACAATAAGGAACAAGCAAGATCAAAATCTAAGTTAAAGAAGGGAATTGGTTCCTTTGCCCAAAAAATGCCACTTTAAAATATATCCAGAAAGAAATATCAAAAAGCTTAAAAAAATGCACAAATTTGAGAAGGGATATGAAACTGTAAAAGTGTTCTCCATAACACAATCTTAGTCTAGCAAACATTGGATTATTGATTGCGGGCGCTCCTGCCACATGTGCCCAAACAAATTTTGGCTTGAAATATTGCTAGATTTGGATGGTGGTTTTTTGATGCCTGAAAACAACAGACTAAAGATATCATGGAGATCGTCAAGATAGTAATCAGGATGTTTTATGGCGTTGAAAGAAAAACTCATAAAGTTAGGTATGAACCTAGGCTCAAGAGAATTTTCATTTTATTAGCAGTCCAAGATAAAGATACATACGGTGTAACAGCCTGGGGCCTAATAACTTGGAATTAACTAAGTTAGCAACTACGATAAGATGGTAAAAGAGCCATTAATAATCCACAAATCTCAAGCCAAAAATAGTAACAGTTTGTAGACATCTCAAATCAACATGTAAAGTGTCTCTACACAGAAAAAAATAGTAAAAACGAAAAGAAAATACAATCACATTATAAATTAGCACCTATCAGCTGCAGTCCTCCTATAAATCAAGTCTCTCCTACCAGACATCAACCAATAATTTATCTTTTCTTGAAAGAAAATTAAATTCAGCAGTAAGTTTGACTTAGTGAGCAATTAGAATCTTAATATGCATTAAATTATTATGTTAATGTTATGCATGAATGAACAAAATAATATGTAATTCATCACCTTACAAAACTTTAAAATTTCACTTTAAATTTATCACTCCTTTTTTAGTCAAGATTTAGAAAACTGGACCAGATCGGCCGATTTGCTCGTGACCCTATCACAAGTTTGGTTCCGATTGACATAAGAACCCCTCCCCGTATAGAACAGCTCAAAACCGGATCGAAATGGCCATTCAACCCCTAAACCGACGAATCGACTCCGGTTCAAAGAAACAGTTCAGTTCGTAGAGAATCTCTTTATAATAACGAAAAATTAAAAAAAAATTCAAAACTTAAGAATTGGATCATTTTGGGTGTTTCGAAGACAATTTAGCATAAAATCTATTAAAAGCAATTCATGTTGATTAAAACTAAAATTTTTTAAATAATATTAGTATTTAATTTGAATAACCTTATTGCTTTGAGTCTTTGACTTTGAGGATCCTTATAATAATACAATAACAAACAATTTTTTCGAGATTGTGAAGTGCTGCGAGTCTAAAAGTGGATGGTATTCAGAGGAAAAGCTAGAAAGTTATAATCCACTACACATACTATAACATTATTACACTATTTAAGTAATATTTAATGTTTTTGATATTTATAACATCACCCGGTTCAACCTCCAGTTTAACCCGGTTCAATCTTTGAACTTTGAACCTCCTTCATTACCAATTTAATGTCTGGTCTGGTTTTCAAAACCTTAGTTTCAGTTTAAGTGTTTACCCTTTGTAACATTTTTAAGAGTCATAACAGAATTACTGCATATCCGAAGGTATCCTCAAAAATGTACCCAATAGTACCCTCAAAATTTGCACCTGAAGGTGCGCCTTTATAATTTCATTTATCGTGCACGAGTAGATCGCAACCTTTGTCAGTACCATCTGAGGATAAACATGTATGGCTTAAACTTTTACATTTTATTTCATATCAATTTAAAATCCTTTAAAATATACTTTCATATCCCTTTTTTTTATTTTTCTCCCATTTTTTGATATCATTTCAAACTAGCAAAATGCAAGACATGAATGAAATATTTATTTTAAACCATTTAATAATGCAAGTATTCATTTCATAAAACATTAATTTAATACATAAAAAAAACTAATTACTCACATTTGCCTCAAGAGCTATAAAATACTTTTTCCTCCACTAACTTCTTTGACTATCACCTATATTAATTAAATGTGCACATAATTATATGAATCTCATTCTAAAAGAAAGACTTGCATATATCTAATGACATAATTAAATTAATACATATAAATCAAATAGGCAATTCCTTACCTAAGAATTTGGCTTACCTCCCTGCACAAGTTTTCTCTTTCTCCCCTTAATCTCAACAATATATCACCCTTACCTCAAGTACTTCCTGATTTCAAATACATTTATTATTAACACTTAAAGAATAAACTTAAACATGCATATAGAATTCATTAATTAAATTAATATAACCCAAACTTACTTTAACAATAA